ATTTAAAAAAAAAAAGAAAAAGCAATGATTTTCAGTCACTGGGTTTCAGGATGCTTTGTTTCACATATTATTGTGGCAATCAATAAATGATACAATTGCTATACTAAAGACTATATAGCAATAATTTAAGTGAAAGCAACCGGGCAAAGAATAGGCAGCAAGACCCATGGGTGCAGGGACTATGTTGGCTGATTCACCACTGGATCCCCTTTGCACAGCACAGGAACAGTTTCAGGGACTCGATAACACATGCTGGACAAGGTGAACATCTGGTTGTAACAGACCCTACGCTGGAACAGTTCTCAGAATGGCCATAAAATCATTAACTTCCAAACTTTTAAAAATACAGCTGACCCACTTCTATCATTTACTTACCTTTTTTTTCTTTCTAAGTCAAAATCCTCAGCTAGCACATATAAACCACACAGTAAAAAGAGGTTTCTGTAAAAGCCTTTTCCCAAGCATGCCGATGACTCCTTGCCCCATCACATAAAGTCATTTCTTCCCAGCTGCCAGGCTGCTTCTGAAAGAGCTAGAGCCCTGCCAGTTACAGTAGCTGGTATAAAAGCTAATCTTATAAAACACACATCACTTCTCCAACCCCATAATTAAGACCAGAAATCTGTAACTGAGACAGTCATAAAACTGGGGTTACCAAGTGCCAGCTTTGCCTTCAGGTTCTGCACAATGGGGCAGATTTGGGAAAAGCTGCCCAGAATAATCTGATGGGCAGGAGAATGAGCTCCTGAATGGTCAGTGGTCAATGGGAGCAGCCCCAGGCCAGTGCTTTCCAAATCTTCTTCTCCAAGTTCATGGCTCAGTACTTTTCTATCCACCTGTGATCACTATTAGGGGCCAAGACTAAACAACTATTAGCAAATCCATTGTATTAATAGAACAAATTTCTATGGACAAGGTTGCAATTGTTTGGCTTTCGGAGTTCTGTCTTTATTAGTGTCTCCAGAGGCTAGTTGTAAATGAGAAGGCTTTTTAACTTCTCAGAAGAATATTTCTATTTCACCAATTTTATCTTTCACAGAAGGGACCAGCTTCAACCAACTCTTTCCAATCCTCATACTTGGCTTCAAGTCAGAAGCCAAGATTATTAAACTGATGTAGACACTGTGCTTATTAACTGAGTTCTGATTTATTAACATGCTTGTTTAGACACAGTCATAACAAGAATTGGGAAGCTAAAGCCATTCCTTCCCAAAATGCAAACACATACACGTGCTTTACCTCTGAGTCTATTTATCTGGACCAAAGTGTTGATATTGGCAGGTCATCCTTGAATCCACTTTGGGAGCCTGTCCCTTTGTTATAGCTGGAGGGTAAAACCGCCACATCCACATATGTCTTCAATTGCTGAGATATTCTTTTCCCACCACTTCCCACTGTGGAGAAATTTTGAATCTGTTTAATATGAGGGAGGAGCCACGTTGCTATTCTGGGTTTAACTATGAAATATTTATCAAGTTCTAACTTACCAAGAGCTATTTGAAACCCCAGGGCCTTAGGATTGTATCATTTTCATAAACAGAGGCCCAGAAATTGATCAGGTAATGGGAGGAGGAAGAGGGAAGGTCACCCTGATTTGAAGGAGTGGCAGAGCAGGGAGCTTAGATGATAAGCACCCAGCAGACAGGAAGAGCAACTTTTACGTGCTTCATTCACTGTTATGGGCAAAGAATGTGAAAACGGAAAAGCACCATCAAGATCATATGTGGCAAACTTTGCATTTTGTATGAGGACATTAAAGCCCAGAGAGGTTAGATGATCTTCCCAAGGTCACAGAGCAGGTCAAAAGAGGAATCAAGAGGAATTTTTTTCAGCAAATATGAGTACCGTCTACAAAGACAGGGCAGTATTGCAGGGCTTGATCTTGTAGGTACAAGCCGCAGTACAAACTTTCAAATGTTTTTATCTCTGGGGCCCAAACTCAGTGCACTCATACCAGTGAGCTCCCAACAGGGAAGAATTCATGATTTAAGGCAAGGGTTCTCAACCTCAGCACTACTGACAGTTCGGTGTGGGTAATTCTTCCTTGGGTGGGGGTAAGGGGCTGTCCTGTGCTTTATGAAATGTCTTGCAGTCTCCCTAGCTTCTACCACTAGATACCAGTAGCATCAAGTTTGCTTCTCCAGGCATTGCCAAATGTCTCCCGGGGAGCAAACTGTCTCAGTTTAGAACCACTGATTTAAAGCAAAATTAGTCTGACACCTGTTCAAGGCTCCACAAAAGCATCATTGAGCTGAATGATATATTTGTATTAATGATAAGGAAGTAGAAAGATCTGGAGAGTTAAAGAGAAAGACTTGATATCATCACAGAATTATCCAGTACCTAGAACCATGTTCTGTACAAAAAACTTATATTCCATCTTTTTAGAAATTAATATGTAATAATTTTTAACTATTTTATTTTAATTTATTGGGCTTTTTAGAAATTGATGATGTTTTATTCTTATTTATTATTTTGGCCATATTGTACAACATGTGGGATCTTAGGTCCCTGACCAGGGATCGAACCCAGACCTGCTGTCCTGGGAGTGTGGAGTCTTAACCACTGGACTGCCAACGAAGTTCCAATTGTAATTTACTATAAATCATAATAAGTGTTAACTTATTAATAAAAATCTTCTAAATACTTCATGTTTACATTCAGATCATTTTCTTTCTGTTTTCTTACTTCTAATGGACAGTGGGTATACTTTTCCCAATGGCCATTGTAATTTCTCTTTGAAAAAAACAAAACAAAACATAGCCCAAAGGGTATACAAAGTACATGCAAGTAGTGTAAAAACCACCCCTCCCCCAAATAACAATTTTTTAAAAGCCTCATTCACATTTGATCCTTTACCAAATTAAAATGTATTTGTATTAATGAGTAAACATCCTGAGGCAACTTAGCTCACATTAGGGCTCTCAGACTGCTTTCTGGCCACCAGCCCTGAGCTAATGAGGATGGCAGCAGTTAAAGGGGGCAGAGAGGAAGGATGGGACCTGGACAGTGCAGAGTTAGTGCCAATTTCATGTCATTTCAAACTCCCAGCATGAAGCAACTCCTACGTCCTAGGGGAAGGTAGTGATCTGTGACTTTGTGGCGGTACCCATTGAGGCCAGTGTGTTGGAGGAACTGGTGAGAGGAGACCCGCAGTTGGCCATAGCTGGACTCAGCTCTGTGACTCACAGAAGACACGTACAAAATGACACTGGTGGGTGATTTTTAAAAACTCGTTTGCAAAAAGTTGCTGTCAAGTGAGGGATAAAACCTCAGGGAAAGTTGGAGAGGTAGTTCACTGTAGCTAATGAGCAACATGAGGGTAAGCACAGAAACACTGGATTCTCCATGGAAACGCAAGTCAAGACAAAAATCAAGAAGTTGTAACATTCTCTTATTCTTACCTTATTCTCAAATTGAGGGAGTCAGAAAGTTTTGGAGCACAGTCCTCTGGGTTGTCTATTGTAAAGCCTCACTTTACAGGGGCTCATGAAGGAGGGTCCAGACTGAGGGACTCTGACAACGCAGGCTGGGTGTGGGGGTGGGAGAGAGTGCAGGTGGAAAGCCCCAGAAAGAGGCTTGCTTGGCACCTCTGCCTTTCCAGAGTCACCTCCCCATGCGGTTTTCACCCAACTCTGGGGTGTCTGATACCAAAGGGCTGCCTAGAATCAGGGCTGGACCTTGGGTGTCCTGGCTTATGGACCCCAAAGAAGCGGCATCGACCGTGACAGGAAAATAGATCAGCTCTGGAGAGGCCTGGTGCTGTCACTCCAGGGGCTTATACGGAGGCTGAAAGATGACTGTTCTCCCAAAAACTCACTGGCCCGGGTGCTGCGTGTGCTGTCTGGGGCTCATCAAGCTGCTCTGATCGCCTTCCCCACTGGTGCCACCACTGAGGCCCAAAAAGTCAGATCCAGCTATGTCCTGGGCTGTGCAGTTTCCTGTCAGATATCCCTTCCCTAATAACCTGGAGGAAGAGATCACCTCTGTATCTTATTTCAAAGGGGCTAAGGATTGCTGGGTTCAATCCCTGGGTCAGGAAGATACCCGGGAGAAGGGCATGGCAAACCACTCCAGTATGCTTGCCTGGAAAATCCCATGGATAGAGGAACCTGGCAGGTTATCCCTGGTAGGAGTCCATGGGGTCGAAAAGAGTCAGACATGACTGAAATGACTTAGCATGCATGCACAAAGATTGCTGGGAGAAATACCAACAACCTCAGATATACAGATGACACCACCCTATTCGAAGAAAGCAAAGAGGAACTAAAGAGCCTCTTGATGAGGGTGAAAGAGGAGAGTGAAAAAGTTGGCTTAAAACTCAACATTCAGAAAACTAAGATCATGGCATCTGGTCCCATCACTTCATGGCAAATAGAAGGGGAAGAAGTAGAAGCAGTGACAGATTTTCTTTTCTTGGGCTCCAAAATCACTGCAGATGGTGACTGCAGCCATGAAATTAAAAGACGCGTTCTCCTTGGAAGAAAAACTATGACAAACTTAGATAGTATATTAAAAGGCAGAGATATCACTTTGCTGACAAAGGTTCATCTAATCAAATATATGGCTTTTCCAGTAGCCATGTATGGATATGAGAGTTAGACCATAAAGAAGGCTGAGTACCCAAGAATTGATGCTTTTGAACTGTGGTGCTTGAGAAGACTCCTGAGAGTCCCTTGGACTGCAAGGAGATCAAACCAGAGAATTCTTAAGGAAATCAACGCTGAATATTCATTGGAAAAAACTGATGCAGAAGCTGAATCTCCAATACTTTTGCCATCTGATGCGAAGAGGCAACTCATTGGAAAAGACCCTGATGCTGGGAAAGATTGAGGGCAGGAGGAGAAGGGGGTGACAGAGGATAAGATGGTTGGATGGCATCACCAACTCAATGGACATGAGTTTGAGCAAACTCTGAGAGGTAGTGAAGGATAGAGAAGCCTTGTGTTGCTGCAGTCTATGGGGTCATGAAGAGTCAGACATGACTGAGCAACTGAACCATGACAAAGGGAGTGAACTGCCTGCTTGGCTGCACTCCCAGCAGCTCCAAATCTCTGACAAACCATGGCTCCCACATGAGCCAGCAGGAAGGTATTCATGCTTGGTTCTATACCATTCACCAAGCTGGACAGAATCCCATGACTGTCCTTCTCCAGAAAAGTCCACCCTCCTGTAACGTGCCAGGTGCTTTATATATTATCTTGAAGTGAAAAAGTGTTAGTCGCTCAGTTGTGTCTGACTTTTTGAAACCCCATGGGCTGTAGCCCACCAGTCTCCTCTGTCCATGGAATTCTCCAGGCAAAATACTGGAGTGGGTAACCATTCCCTTCTCTGGGGTATCTTCCTGACCCAGGGATCGAACCCAGGTCTCCTGCATTATAGGCAGATTCTTTAGTGTCTGAGCCCTCCTTCTAACAACATGGCGATGTGCATGTGTATAAGCGAGAAAACTGGGGTTAGGAGAAGGTAATTAATTTGTCCAAGGTTGCACCAACAGGTACGTGATGTGGCTGGGACAGCACCAAGCCTAAGTTCTGTCCTCTCACCATGACTGGAAGGTATGACAGATGCAGTATTGAGGGCAAGTCTGGGCCTCTCCTGCCTGACTTGCTCCAAGACAGACCTGGAAGCTTCCATGGGGGCTGCATCTCTCCGTGCCACCTACCATGTGCTGGTCTCTTTGGTACCCTGAGAGCATCTCCATAAATGGCTGTGAGCATAGTTTCCCTCCAGACCTGCACTTCCCACAACACCCAAGCAGGGACCTCCAGGGATTCAGCACAGCCAGTCTCTCAAAGTCAGCCTCACGTTCCAACACAAGGCCTCAGGTGCAGAGACTTTGGGACCCTTCTTAGACTCGGGGACAAATGGGTAGCCATGGCCTAACTACATGCCCAGAGCCTCATTTATATTTCCTGCGGCTTCTGTAACAAATTACCACAGATCTAGTGGCTCAAAACCACACAAATCCATTATCTCACAAGTTGGTAGGTCAGAAGTCAGACACAGGTCTCACTGGGCTAAAATCAAGGCATCGGCAAGGCCACACTCCTCCCTAGAGGTTCTAGCAGAGAATCTATTTCCGGGCCTTTTGCAGCTCCTGGAACTTGCCTGCATTCCTTGGCTGTTGGCCCCATTCCTCAGCTCATTCCTCAGAGGCAGCCACAGCATGCTGAATCCTTCTCACACGGCATTGCTTCTCTTTCACAGAAACACTGCTTTCTGACTCACTTCTGTCTCCCTCGCTCACTTCAAAGGATCTTTGTGAATCAGTCTGGTCCCTGTAGCAAATTCAGAATAATCTTCCCATCTCAAGGTCCTCAATATAATCACATCTGCAGAGTCCCTTTTGCCATGAAAAGTAATGTAACAGGACACAGACATCTTTAGGGAGGAGACATACCTCATGAGGCCAGAATCTCCCCTCAGGTCATTTTCACACACAGAGTGCAGACATTTTGATAACCCTGGCCCAGGACCACCTTGGACTGTGAGCAAGTTGAGGATGGGGCCTCTCCTATCTTATTAACCAGCGCCTGACACATGGAAGGCATTCTGTGGGATCTGTTGCTTGAATAAGTGCCCACCTTGGCCAACAAACTGACCTCTCCCAGTAGCCTTTAAATCCAAGGACCTTCGATGACTCACATCTGCCTTCTGATTGCTCACTCTTAGATACAGCCCTCCTGACCATGAGTGCCCATCGGCACAGAGCAGGGGCTGCATTCACCCACCAGAGTCCCTCTGCCCTCAGTAGAGGCAATGGCACTTGTGGTGACGAGTTTGCAAAACCTGAGATACTGCCATGGAAGACTCTGAGAATGCCCTTGTCAACATGATGCTGTCTCACCCCAGGATCTAAGCTGTTTAAATCAACACGTCGCACTTCCCTGGTGTTCAGTGGTTGAGAATCCACCTGTCAATGCAGGGGACACACTTGCTCCCTGGTCCAGGAAGATCCCACATGCCAAGGGGCAACCAAGCCTGTGCACCACAACTACCGAGCTCTCATGCCCTAGAGCCCGTGATTCACAACAAAGAGAAGTCACTGCAATGAGAAGCCGACATTGCAACTAGGGAAGACCCGGCACAGCCATTAACTAATTAATAAATTAAATCAATTCATGAACCATCTCTCCACCCTGTGAGCACTGGGGTAGCTCTACATGTAAGGCCCTTAGGGTGAAGTCAAAATTGTTCAAGTACAAAATAACCCTGGCAAACGGTTTCGTAGAGGGAGGGATGCAATGCCATCTACACACCTCTCTAGCGCCCCCTCTGGCACCTTCCAGTCATAATGAACAAGGACATCACACCTCACCCCCGAGATTTAGCACAATGCTCTGCTGAATTAACCCCAGAAGAGGTGAGATGAGCAAACTGACTCGGGATAGATTAAGAATTTACCCAAAGTTATCTAGCTTATAAATAGGAGAGCTCCATGTAAACCCTGTCTGACTCTCCAAACCAATGTGCTCTCGGCCTCATTACCCAACCTCCTAATGTGATGTGATAATACTGGCCACTATTCATGCTTCAGGGCCTCACCCAGTGACCGGGAGTGTCCACTACACACAGAACTACCTGGGCCCAGTTACAGGGCAGACCTTTCCCTCTCATTTCCCATTCTTTCTGTGAACATTAGGATCAAAAACCTTGTGATGCTGTCCCTTCTAGGTCTGCCTTCCGTCAAGATTTGCATGTATAGTAGAAAGGATTTCGTTAGACAATTAGAAGAACTTGCCCAAACATTAAGGATTGGGTAAAACCACTGGATTAAATTTTCCAAACAAAAGAACAAGCAGACACTGGAATGGAATTATCAAGGTGTCTCCCTTTGGAATCTTGCACAATATAGTCCACAGATTCAGTAGCTGACTAAAGCCATTCACAAATTTAAAAAAAAAAAAAAAACCTATATTTTCTTCCCTAAGTCTGTTCTATCACTCATCCTTGCAGCCCCATAAACCTCAGGTGCCTGGATTGAGGGAGATAAGGGGGAGGTTACCTGTCATCACCTGTCAGAGGAAATTAAACCCCAGTGTCCACCCTGAATCTGTGGTTTTCAAGCTCTAGTGGGCATCATAATCCCTAGGAGGGCTTATTAAAATAGAGATCATTCACCCCAGCCCCAGAATTTCTCACTCTGTCGGTCTGGGTGGGGTCTGAGAATCTGTATCACTAACAAGTGCCCAAGTGACGCTGATGCTGCTGGAGTGGGGGGCAGGGGGAAGCAGGAGGACCACTCTGGGAATTGCTGATCTGAACCTCATCGGCCTCCATCCTTATACATGGTTGGATCTAGAAGGGATCTTGGCTTCCTCCCAGCCCTGAGGTGTGCCCCAGGGTCTATAGGATGACCAAGTGCTCCTTTCCCAGCTTTTCTTAGAACGGTCTTTCAAAACCTAGCTAGAGCTCTGATCTTTCACCAAAGAGGTGCTAGCCTGCTTTCCCCCATCACAGCTGAGATTACGTCATCATTTGTTTTCTCTGAAAAGACACTAATCTTAAGCGCTCGCTGTGAGCCGCCTGTTTACCAAGCTGCCACTGACTTGGCACCGAAGTTTGCTTAACCTCTGCTCAGCTGCTGTCTTCTGAGGATTTTCTTGTCCCACTCTTAGCCAGGCCCACGTTTTTCCAGTTCAGTCCTGAGGAGTCTCTCACTTCCCAGGTGGAGGAATTCAGGTTTCTTTCCTGCATGAGCCCCTTCTGGATTCCCTTCCTTGGTTGCTCCAGGCAGACCAGGGACAGGGATGTGCCAGCTGCGCCAGCAGGCAGGGGTATTATCACCACGGTGTTTGGAACTGTTGGCACATGATGACAATAAAATGAGGTTTGTTTCGTTACTATTTTTAAATGTGGGAGGGTGTGGGCCCCCGACCAGCAGCATCAGCATCCCTTGGGCACTTGTCAGGGATGCAGACTATCAGACCCCACCCAGGCAATGCACTCCCTGCCTACTCCTCCTCCACTATGGCTGCACCTGGGGCAGACAGCTTCTACCCTCACCCACCATGGCCCACTGAGGCCATATAGTGTTGTTATTCTACAGGTCTTTAGGTTGAGCACCATTTCTAAAAGGGCCATTTGTCACAGGGTCCCCTGGGAGCAGGAGTCAAGGTCTAGATACAATTCCCATCTTTCTGCTCCTTCCACAACCATGACCTCCACCCACCCCACTACACTGCCCAGCTTAGGGCCCTGAAATCACTCTTACGCATGTCCATTTGTTATTCCTTCCCTCCCCACCCACCACCCATCAAAACCTACCCAACCTCGTGCCTAAGTGGCTAAAATGATCTGCCAAAACCATTCTCCCTAAGGCCTTTGTGGAAAGGCAGGACTTTTCCCAGACCTTGTTATACCTAAAACAGCAGGATTCCTAGGTTGTGTGGTATCCATTTACAAAAAAAAAAAAGAAAAATTGTACTGTTAACGATGGTGATGAAGCAACTCAAAGCTCCAAGGGTCAACATGGAAAAGGTAACCTCTGGTCAGGACCCCTCAGACCATGCTGTGTCTGCGAACTCTGAGTGTCCATCTTAAGGTATCAGCTTTCTTTTGTTGCATGGAGAAGTCAATTCTGACTCCATCTGAAACTGTTTCTTTGACTTGCTTTTCGTTGCTCTTGTTATAATCATACACAATGGCCTGCCTCAAAGAATCCTGCCCCTCTGCCCTGATTGTTAAAGTGCCTTTGTTCAGAACCCTGTCCACCTGTACATGGCAGGAAGGAGGAAACTAACACATCCCCCTGCCTGAGGCTTCCCATTCTTGGAGACATTTGCAAGATTAATGGCCTTTTTTATTTTGGTTTCTCACCTCCCACCCCCACCATCTCTGATCCATGAAAGAGCCTGGCATCCAGACTCTGACAGAATGGTTATTTTGAGACCTTAGTCTGCCATCTTCTTGGTCAACCAGCTCTCCAAATAAAGTCGGATTCCTTGCCTCCACACCTTATCTCTCAGATTCATTGACCTCTTGTGCAGTGAGCAGAGTGAGCTTGGACTCCATAACACTTTTAACATCCAAGCAAATAGCCTGAACTCCATCCCATGGGAGTAAAGTACCCTCCTCCAGACACCTAA